TGGATAGAGGATGGATGGATGGATGGATGGATGGATGGATGGATAGATAGATAGATAGATAGATAGATAGATAGATAGATAGATAGATAGATAGATAGATAGATAGATAGATAGATAGATAGATAGATAGATAGATAGATGGATGGATGGATGGATGGATGGATGGATGGATGGATGGATGGATGGATGGATGGATGGATGGATGGATGGACGGACGGACGGACAGCACTCTTTTACTCATACACAAGTCCAGTAGGTGGCAGTACTACACATTTCAGTTTGTTTAAGATCTGCCATAGTGACTCCATTTCCCGGAATGCATCGTTTCTCGTGTTTCGTCCATATTGCTTTCACCTAAAGGCGCTGGTGCTGGTTTGGCCCGTACGCTGAAAATGTAAGAACAGAAAGAATATTTGTTGGAAGCTGTGAATACTTTCTGTGTTTCTGTGTGTGTGTGTTAGTTCTGTTTTGTAGACGAGTGTCTGTTCTCTGAAACTGCACGTTTACACCGCGCAGAGCTGAGCTCGGTTCGGATGGCAGCCCTTTGTTGTTATCCTCTCCCAGATTGGAACATTCAGGCTTTATTTGTGTCACGGAACCGAAAGCAAATCATCTATTTTTCTCATCTCTGCAGTTTTCAAAGTCTTTAAGACAGGTCCTTAATGAATTATGAGCTATTTTTCTTTTATGTTAGAAGATTAGCTTGTAGCATCTGTGGAGGCTAACTAAGCTAACTCAGCCGAACCCCCCGAAATCTGTGTCCGAATTGGCTAAACCCCCAAAATAACACGAATCAGATGTCTTCTTAATCCTGCAGGAGGAGGTAATGTTTAGAGAGCAAGCTTTTTATGAGCTGCTGTTGGACAGACTGCTCTTATTTGTTGACAGGAAGCTGCATTCTCTCTGTCGGTTTCCATTAGTTTATTTGGACATTTCTTGCTTAAAGACCAAATGAAACAAAGGGACACATGTCTCTGTCCTCAGTTTGTCCCATTGCTGTCTGATGGGTTGACTGGATCATGTGTTTTGAGGAAGTCCTGCTGGTGCTTAAAAATACATAATATTTTAAATTTCAGATGTGTTGAAAGTAAATCATCCATCCATTATCTTTACCCGTTTATTCCATTTTGGGTCACGGGGGTCACTGGTGCCCATGTCCAACAATCACTGTGCGAGGGGCGGGGTACACCCTGGACGGGTCGCAAGTCCATCACAGGGACACATAAAGACAAACGAGACAAACAACCATTTACTCTCTCACTCACACCTAGGGACAATTTAGAGTTACCAATCAGCCTAACATGCATGTTTTTGGTCTGTGGGAGGAAACTGGAGTACCCGGAGAAAACCCACGCATGCACGGAGAGAACATGCAAACTCCACCCAGAAAGGCACCTGGACCGGGGTTTGAACCAGGGACCTGCTCACTGAGAGGCAGCAGCTCTACCAGTTGTGCCACCGTGCTGCCATGAAAGTAAATCTAAAAAGTTAAATCTGGTCCTCTGGAGATTCAAAACACAAAACAAACAAAAAAAATATGTAGAAACGTTTCGTCTTTCATCCGAGAGACTTCCTCAGTCTAAGGTGCTGTATTCAGCTCAGTCTCTTTAAATAGCACCTTCTCAGAGTGGATCAACCAGTTTTGCTGCTGACAACCAAAACCAGCTGATCACATGCTCAAGAAGGACCATCAGCCTAACAATGGATCATTAGCACACTGATGGCTGTTTACTATTCACAGGGGGCTCTTACAATGCTGTGATTGCTAGTATCACTCAGCCCTCTGTGAGTAGTAAACAGCCATCAGTGTGCTAATGATCCATTGTTAGGCTGATGGT